GCTGGGAAGAAAGAAATTATTGCCTGCATATGCTACCAGTAAATCAGCAGTAGCTTAGCTACCCTAGAGCATGAAACTCAGCATAATAGATCTTTCATAACTCACTGGAGAGGTCATGGTACAAGAATGTTGAACAATACAACACAATCTTTTGTAGGTAAGCAACTTCAAGGTAGGAGGTGTAAGTTGCTGCAACAACAGAAACCTCAGAGGAGATCATCAGAAAATGATTAACATGTTTTTTCAAAGGAATGTGCACAACTGACAATATTTTCAACACAGACTTTTTCGAACTCCTCTGGTGTCCTGTTTCTTATGCTTTATGCATGTACAGGGAGCTCATATTTTGATTGTTTCATTAACCCCATATTTCTTCTACTTCTAATTACCTAAAGTATTATGATCATATTATTCACATTAGTTTATTTGGAATAATTCCCATTACAGGGACTTTCAGAAAAGTAACCTTACGTTGAACACAGTTTCTGGTGCACCAAATTTTCTCATATTTGTCACTTGATGGTTTGTTAAACTGTCTGATTTGATGTTTGTTACAAACGTTCACTTGTTGAAGTCCCAAACAAACATCAAGGATACCACTCTTTTCCACAGAGTATATGCTTCATATTGTTTGCTGGTTTTCTTTGGACTTCATCTTTCTTAAAGGAATATACCAAAATAAGACCACACTCAAAAAGATGACACCCAGTTTTTCTAGAAAATTAGTTTCTGTTGAAATTCATATAATATTGCACACTTATTTTGATTTGCTGAAGTCCAAGCTCGCTAATATCCCAGGTAAACTGGATGAAACCACAGACGTCTAAAACCAATAAGGGCAAAAACCTCAACAGACAATTGCACACAAAGGCTGGTTGCTGCCTACCATCCTAAAAGCAAAGTTGGCTTTTTCTCCCAATAGGAACTGACTTCCATGCCAGTTCTTCCCTTCTTTTAGCAAAAAGGCAGCCCACCTGCATATAAACCACTGAGGAGGCAGCTGAATCATGACACAGTTCAGATGGGAAGCCACAGCCACTTCCAGAATCCTATAGGAAAGCTGATCAAGATACCAGGCTTGGATCTAAATAGTCTGGAGAGGAGTGGGAGCAAAGCTGCTGTTTCACTTTCTGAAGTCACTTCTAGGGACAGCCAAAGAGAACACAATTACTAGGTGTCAAATAGTGCCTTTCTTCATTTTCACTTCTCTAAAAAATTGTCATTACATGGGACCATTGCGAAGGAACAGAGAAAGAAGTGGTGTGAGTTCAATAATGAATCAAGGCCAGGAAAGAGACAGGAAATTCAAATCTGTAGGAACTGACTGTTTTGTGTCAGCCACAACATGCATTCAAATACATGTGTCCATTTCCAGTTGCTTCCTCTTCACACCTTCCCAAGAGACTCCAGGGTCCAAGGCATCCAGGGAGGCTGCTGGCTCTCCAGACAGATGTGCAGGTTTCTCACAGCCCTCTGAAAGGTATCTTGCATTCTTCCAACTATTTCAAATGAAACTGTTTCAGACAGACCAAGCCACCTCTTTTTTATTCTGCAATTCTGAATACATTTAGGTCCCCTCCCCCACCCCAAACTGCCTCTTACTTTGAAAATTCCCAATTCTTTGCATATGACGTTGTGATGTTTCACCATGAAAAATTAATTTTAAATTATAAGCACCAAATTGTAACTTCTCTGTATGGTAAAGGATCACACAGAGGGGATTTGTGGTTTAAACAAAGATCTTGTATAATTAGCCATAATAACAAAGGAAATATTCATAATTACATCAAAGGATTCTTCACTGAGTATTGTTTTATTTGCTTCCTGAGGGAGCAGATTTCTCTGAAAAGATAACACTATTTTAGCCAGATGTATGTAAATAACAAAGGGCCATCTACAGAATCCAGCTTCAAACTAAAGCCTGAAAAAGACTCCAAAATCCAGAAGAGATTCTCCAATTGATTTGATTACAGGCCAGGCATCGGTTCTCTGCTAGGTATGCAGTGCTGATATGTCTGTAATATGTAAACATGGTTTCAGATGGACATAACACACAACGCTACAGCATACCCGAGACGCCTGTCTCAGCTTATAGGAGACATAGTCTGGGGATTAATTTCATCCACCAACATAAACATAGGACTAATTTTGTAAAGTACAGATAGCTAAAAATAAGCAAGAGTAATGTTATGCAATAAAACCTGGTATATGTTTCCCCTTTCCAGAGAAGGGAATCTGACATGGCTCCAAATAGAAAGAGGTGGCAGTCTGACCAGAACACAAAATATATTCATTTCATTCCCTTCCAAAGAGATGGCAGTTGAATCTCCCATACATTAAAGATGCATGCCCACTGTCATATCATTTCAATGGTTTAAATAGTAAATTATGATCAAAAATTCATAACACTTCTGCCCTCCCCTGGAAAAGAAAAATAGGTCAAAAATAAATAGAAACAAACTGTCTTCTGCTCCTTTATATGCATTTGAGAGGAAAAAAAATGAGGGAGATAAATCTGCATAATACTGAACCGAATCTCTTTAATTCTAGTCAGCTTTTATCATTCAATCACTGAGTCTGTATGTGGAAAAATTCATGCTAATTCCCCCTAGCAACAGCCGCAGCCTATCAGGGGGAGCCCTGCACCAGGCAGCTGCCAGCCAGCAAGAATAACTCTAAGTAGGTCAGGCCTGCATTTCTAAAAATGCCACGGTCTAGTAACCCCACTGTCCCGTCTGTCTGCCCTGCCCCATAATAACCTCGATTGCTTGGTGACACAATGACATACTACCCTGTTAGAGCGCAATCAAATCATGCTGCATTATTCTGCTGCGAGCATCGCTGCTGGATGAAGGACCCATCGAGGGACAGCATTAATCAGGCAGCCATTCATGTCCACTAGCACTTCACTCTGGAGATGGAGCCTGCATTAATGACCAGCTGTTTGAACCAACACAAACAAAATAATGTCTTCCACCCTGTTGGCCGTGTAGAATACACTATTCTAATCAGGCAGGTTATACTCACTGACTAAACCTAAGATGTAAATTAAACAGCCACAGACAATACCAGCTTTTGTAACCTTCTATTAATTAAAGTAAGTACATTTAAATTGTACTACACACGATTCAAAAAGCTATTGGTTTAATATACACAGTCATCTCTTCCTACAAATTTGTGTCCACAGTCCAAAAAAAAAAACCCCACAAAAACCCCACCCCACTGTTTGCATAATGCAATCTACCTATCCTGATGAATTAAAAAGTGACATAAACAGAGCTGAACTGAAACCGACCTCTGTGGGGAGCAGGGAACCACACCAGGCTTCTAGCAACCGGGCGGCATGGACACCGACAGACGTTCTCATGGAATACTGCAGAGGGGATAACTATGAAAGCCCTGTAAACATCTGCCAGCCACAACACGGAGAAAGGCCAGTCAGAGCAGATTAAGCACCCCCTGCAATTTCACTACTTAAATGCTACCAAGTTGCTTGTGCAGACCTAAAAATAATCGTGGAGGTCAGAAAGCTGCCGGCGGGGTGTGGACCAGCACCTTTAAGCATGCACAGCCACAGCCCTGGGGACTCTGACTTGGCTGCGAGATGCTGCATGATGCCTTCTTGGGGGCCCCCCCCCCCCCATTCGCCAGAGAAGCCTTAATATAAACCACACTAGACCCCAGTCAGCCTTCTGTGGGGTGGTATTTCAGTATCAAATTCATAATGCAAGAACAGAATTTCAGCATGCTTGCTTTGTGTTTAATTACACCCTTGCTTATAAACACCTCTGTGCGCCTCACTTGTGTCTCCCTTCAGAGCATGCCTCCATGACAAGCAGCTGTCTATGCAGGATAGAGATTGGAAAGGCATTTTCTAGGAAAGATGGTTCATCTGCATTTTTTTCTGAAGGATTCACACTTCCACTTGGTGAACGCATACCCTCTGACAAACTGGTAATTCAGTCTTCACTGCTGCAGAATTCAGCAAGCATTGCACATGTAAATCCGTCCACATCTGAGTTAGGAACACAGCAGATTCATTAATCCATTTTGCTTTCTTGTTGAACCCGGCTCAGTAACCAGGTTATGACTGTCTCCCTTTGCTTTGTGGCACACATCAAATAGCTATTCTTGGAGCGATACAGTCACTGACGTAACCGTGGACTCCTAATTACAAGCTGCTGACATTTTGCTTGTCTCTGCAGCTTTGAAGCTGTGAGTTAAGTCTCTCCGTCCTCCTTGCTTGCTTTAAACTGCCTCAGTTAGAAGCACATGACAGTTTCAGAAAGGTATAGGAGTGACATAAGGTCCTTTCTAGAGCCTGCTGTATTGCCAAGGTTATTTTTCTTTAAGCAAACAGAAAACTACATTTTGGAAGTAATAAGACTCCTTTGCCCCCAGCACAAGAATGTTATCCAACAGCTGGCTAAATATAATCCAACACACAGGGCTGCCTTTGTAGGCTGGGTAACAAATAGTGGAAGGGCCAGACTGGCGTCTTGCAGGGTAGCTCACCATGACTATTGGGAAATCCCCTTGTACACATTTTAGGATGACATTATGGTCTATGGATTTGTATAAAAGGAAAAAAGGAAAAAAAGAACCAAACCACCTCCTTCTCGACAGGCAGCTGCTAGAAACCATGCCAAGCCCCTAGCTGACTGCAGTGCTTGTTTCCCCCATTTCTACATTTTTCAGCCATGGCCAAGAAGAGCCGCCTACCAAACTAAACATGCCTGTACTGTGACAAATCTACCTGCTCTGAACACATGGTCTCCCCCATGCACATTTGGCAATAAGAAATACACCCAGGTAACATTTCAGAAAAATCTATTGTCAAATACGAGCATTGCCTTTTCTCAATAGATGAAGAATTCTTTTCAATTAAAGGCTGATTCTGAAATTCTAAAAAGGAAAAGAAGAAAGATATAAATATAACGCTGAATATAAATGCTCAGTTGAGCATTCCGGCTTCTGATGACTGTGTTAGCCAGCTGGTCTAGAAGTCATCTGGGATGCATTTATTTTGATTAGATTGATCACATTTCTATTTACAGGATAGAATTTTTCACCATACTGAATACAGCTGTGTTTATAAAGATTTTAAGATGGGGAAATGAAACCCCACAGTTTCTCACAGCACAGTGCAGAAGACTCAGTGCTTCAAGGTGTTAAGCGGAAAGGATCTGCTTTCACGTTTCTTAAAAGAATTCTGCCTACCATCTGTTTTCACAAAGTGCCGCCTCAGTCAGGAAATGGGTGTAGAGCTATAGCTGAAAATGCAAGCTGCAATCAAGTCTGACCTAGTGAAGTGACAAACTTCCTCTGTAAATTGGTCAGAAATGTCTTTCTTTCATGTCTGTACATGCTCACACACACACAAAAGCACTTACATACATATATATATACACACAGAGTGCATGGCTGCTGTTTCCCCTGGGGATATCGCTGCAACCACCTAGCTCATCAGTTCCTTCACTGACAGCATCAGGAGTGTTCAAGCTACAATTTACAGTCCCCGCCATCCATACATTGCTTTGTTAATCGAGCCATCCTCTCTGCAATAGGAATGCCTGGAATCAGACAAACGGCATGTAGCATTTCTTCTTCCTTTGCATTTGCATTCGCTCGCTCTCTCCTTCTCCCATGGCTTTGCCTTAACAGGCAGACACAACCAATACCTTATTTATCCATCTCCAGCACAACGCTGAGGTGAAACCCGACTGCAGCACTGTGGCTTCCCCATGTTAATCCTCTGGAGCAGCAGAGGCTGGATTCTTGCTGCTGATGCCCTTGTCGAGCACTGGATTACTTTACATAATATTTCTTTAAGCTTTCACCCACCCCAACCTAGAATAACACCCCTCCTTTCTCCTCCCTCCACATCCCCCCCAAAGAAAATCCCAAAGTCATCACATATTGCAACTCTTTGCTTCCAGAACCAACAGAAAAAACGCAGCTCCATCGCTCTTTGTAGCAATGTGCAGACGAGTGAGTTTTGAGCCAGCCAAGCCGGGGTGAAGCGCAGGCAGTGAGACTGTGGCAGCCCCAGCAGCAGCAGAAACGGCAGCAGCCGCCCAGGTAAATGGACGGAAAAGCAGGTTGTGTCGAGATCAGTGCAGTCTCGTAGCTGTAGGGAAAGACAATCTCACTTCTTCTGAATGGTATAGCTTCGTGCCTGCAGGAACGGAAAAAAGGGAAGACCCAGAATTAAAAATAAAAGCCAGAACAGTTAAGAAGAAACAATAACTATAATAAATTATTGTAACTTTATTTTTCTGGGCTTTTGGAGGTTTTGGGGAGCTGCCTTTTCCTCTCTCTTCCCAAAGTCTCCTGTGATGCTGGATGCTACTGTCCAAGAGTGCGGAGTCACAAAGGCTCACTCTCCAAAGCGCAGTGAGACCAGCATCACATGAGAAACCACATGACGCACCCAAATCGGATGCTGATGTGGTCCACTGTTTCACTTGGGGGGGGGGGGTGGGGGGGTGGAGAATCTCTACAAAAACATGCCCTTCTCTAGCGGTTAGAAAAGAATTTCCCGTTTAAAAAAAAAAACACAACTAAATAAAAAAAGGCCAAAAAATAAGTATCTCACTATCTATCCATCTTCAACACCAGTGCTTCAGGAGGCAGGAGAATGCTGTTCCACAGACACTAGCTGGATGGCAGTAATATTACTTCCAGGCTATGTTATTCAAAGCTGATTCCACTTAAATTAATTCCTGAAAAGCATACTCCGTGTCTTCATAACATGAACAGGCTCAGAAAACCAACTCCATTATCGTTCCCTGCAATCTATATCTAAATCTGTGTCTTGAATAATTTATTTGAGCCTAATAAGCTATTTAGAAAGACCACTCCTTTTCCCACTCAGGCCCACGCTCATGAGCAACTACAACAGGAAACAGAGGGGTGTTCACTGTCTTCATAACTGGTCATTCTAGTAAACACACTGTCCCACAAATACTCGAGGAAAAAAATGAGCAGAAAGCTTTTCTCCTCACGCATGGACATGACTGGGGTTTCTGGTTTGCGGAAGGTGGCAATGTTTTCCTGGCATTGCTGACTCAAAATCTTTCCATCCAAATAAAGAAGCAATCTCTTGTCTGCCAATTCCTGCAGAGGTGTTGTGCCACATTGTTTAACGCAGAAACATCTGGACATCCCTGGCAGTCCCCGAATAAGGGCGTGCAGCTCCGCAACACTGTTCACTGACAGGGCACCAAGCAGTTAATATCCTTGGCTGTTTTACCATCTTGCCTATAGGAGCATGGAACCGAGGGACTGGCTCGCTGAAGAAACAAAAGCAGAAAAACTGACCTTGATGATCGATGCAACTGCTGCTGCATAAAGTTATCATCCAACAAACAATTAGCAGTTTGTAGCTTGTTTTATGCCTAACATTTGTTCAAGTGACAGAGCAGGTGGCACAGAGTCCTCCATCCCCTTTGTTTGCAATGCCGGGCACCACCTCTCAGTGCTGCGCTCCCTGGTTCTTTACACTGAAACTGTACACGGTGTCAGGGAAATGTAAGAAGATAGCTGCTGTGAATCTGCACAGCTGCTTTGCACAGGATCCCATTGCAAGCTCCAAAGTTATATGATAGGGATCAAGCACAGAATTCCACAGAAGAGAGATATCTAGCACTCACACAAGGAAGCGCAATCGGAGCAGAACCCAAGTGCTATTTTGCGACGATTTCAACCTCCCCAACTGTTCACGCAATAGCAGATTGCAAAATTTTGCACAACGCAGTTGTAGCTCGTTCTCATTGGCTCCTATCAGAAAGAGGTTTTGCAATGGGCTGCACCTAGGAGTTGCCTAAATTCCACGTAAAATCCGGTTGTAGCATTCACCCTCAGCATGCAGTTAGTGTTCAGGAGAGCCACAGGACTGCATGTAAAGAAATCACAAGATTACAGCAGTCATCTGAGGGCATTTTCACCTGTGGGATTTATAATTTCAGCACTGGCAAGTCTTTATTGGAAAATGATATTGGTACACCCAAAAAGATAAACATTACTGAGGCAGAGACTCAGTGCACCAAAATAAGTATCTTCAGGGCTTTGGATTACAAGGTAAGAGGAGCTGTCGTAATCACCAGCCTTATTGTTCTTAATCTATAGCGATTAGCATAACATGGCTCAGCATGGCTTCTCTTTCATTCTCAAAATCTGAGCTGCAGGAGTTCTTGACTCCGTGAGCTGATGATCTTTCCCACTTGACACTTGTAGCTCATTCACCTGTTCTGATGTAGATCCACAAAGCTGTGGATGCCTCATCCCTCTAAGTGTTAAAGGAAAGGCTGGGCAGGGCTTTGAATAACCTGGTCTAATGGAAGATGCCCGTGCCCATGACAGGGGGCTTGCAACTAAATGATCTTTAAGGTCCCTTCCAACCCAATCCATTATATGATTCTGTATGTTTGTTGGAAGTATCCTCTGCAGGTTACTTGGTGAACCCCCTGTCTATCATCACCATTATATCAGGTCAGCTGCAACTTCATCCTGGAAACACCCAGAGTTTCCATAACCTGTGCATTTCTTGCATACACAGCCTTCACTACACTGCTAATGAGAAATACTGGATTGCATATGCTTTCCTAGATCTAACACTAAAAACAAAGTGAAGGAGTCAAGGAAAAAAGAGACTTCTCATACTCATTTGAGCATCTCCAAATTGCCACCATCTGATGATTGTTTTGATATTTAAATGCTTCCAGTTCAACTATTAACCAAACCACTAAAACCCCAGTGAACACCCTGATAATGATTCCAGTGTTCTGTCATGTGTTACCCATGAGAAACAGGAGAAAGATCAAAGACCAGATGCATGTGAAACCCCAACTACTCTCAGAAACCAGAATTGCGGCTGAACCAACATGGAGCTTGAGGATGCTAGTTTATTCAGAGTATGCAATACAAGACATTTTTCAAGCAGACCTGAAAAGGGGACCCTGCAGTATTTATAAATGTTTTGGGAAGCCTGTGAATAATCTCCTATGTAGATACACAAATATGTACCTTTAAGTATGACCCAGAAGTACAGAGTTGTATTAGATGCAAACAATGGGGGGGGGGGGAGGAGGGAGAGAGACAAGAATTACAGAGAGAAAGACCAGTCATAATTTCTTCAGTAATGTAAAATACTTAGATGAACAAAAGCTTCTTGTGAAAGATAGCACTACAGACACAGAGCTTAAAAATCTAATTCTTACACGGAGATTCCTTCAGATAACCTCTCCACTGAATTCTTTGGTACCAGTATGGGTAACTAACTGTTTCTTCCCTCTCCAAATCTCCAACATAGGTACTTTGGTCTGTTAGGTACTGTTAACTCACAAACTAATTCATTTGGAGACTCTAAAACTACCTGTCTAAAATGACTCTCATTTGAACTCCATAGCACATTTTCTCTCTCTCATTACAGTGAATGAAGAAGTATGAAGTTGTCCAAACCGAACAGCTGTGAGTACAGGTGTGAATTTCTGGTTAACATAATTTCTGGCTGAGTTCACATGAAAGCTTTTGGACTGGAAGATGTGGAAAGGACTGGGCTTGTTTTGGATGTTGCCTTGACAGGTTATGAATAGAAATTTTCCCAACACCATTTTATTGCTGGCATTTGACGATCTGTTCACAAACATTTAATCATAAATCCTGCTCCATATTAGTGTAGCTTCATGCTACCTTAGGAATACAATAACTTGGATTTGATGTAACTGTCCACAGGGAACAGGCTTTGGAGTAGAAGATTCAGCAACAGAGTAGACTCTAGATCAACATGAAGAATTACAGCAATATACAGACAGGCCAAACTAAACATAATTCATGACTGCTTAAATGCTACTCAGTTTCTGTGGAGTAATTTTCATGCACTTTTTAACCAGATTCAGTACACTTCTTCATATGGCTAACTATCTGGTTGGTACAGTACTCCATTGCAACTCTACTGCAAGAGGATCTCTATGAGTCTAAGATTCATCAATCATCACTGAAAATGAAGCTTTGGATCCCAGGTGTGAGATAGTTGCACTATTACAGAGAACAAGACTTAAATTCTTTCAACACCAGACAAGAATTAGGACCCAAAAGAGGAAAGCTACCCTACCACCTTTAGCACACCAGCTTTTCCTTTTGGGAATAGTCCCTTTTGGGTCTTACTTCCTGAAGTCATAGAAAGCAGAAGCAGTTGGTTAAACATAACATGGGCACTGCAGAGACTGGTCAGAAGTAACAGAACTTAAACCAAACAAGTATCTGGCCAATGTTTTAACATAAATTTAGCTTTCTGCTTATGACAGCCAAAATCTGCCACACTTGCACAGGAATTAACAGTGCCACCCAGGAAGTACGAAGAGAAAAACAGCAGAAATTTGGAGTAATGCTGTAGTTTCAGCTAAAGCAGAATGCAACGAACACACTTGTGTTTACCAGAAAAATGCATAGCTGCTAATTCTGGTAGAAACATGCAATTGCGAAATTCTGCAGGGAATGTTCCATTTGAATGCTTGATGATTTTCAGCCAGCATCAGGCTCTGGGGTTTGCTTTTCAATGACCTTTCTCTTTGTCATCTACAGATAGAGAAAACATTACCATTAGGCTTGAGGTTTCAACCCAAAAGCCAGGCAAAACTTGATGTTTCACTGAACTTGAAACCTCAAAGTGGACCTGAAGTGTGCAAACCTTATGGACTCAAACCAAAACAAACACATCGGTGAACAAAAACCACAGAGCTGCACATAGGTCTAAGTACTGAGCCAGGCTGGCTACTGGCCAAGGCATGAAGTGCCCTACGCTTCACACAAAATATCAGTAGATGTTTAATGACCACAGGGTATGTCTAGACACACAGCACCATGGTTTAGAGACACTCAGGTCAACTTTATCTGTGAGTTAAAAACCCTGAAGCAGCTTCTTTTCAGTGTACAGAGCTTTTCATTAAGGTAAAATACCCTGTAAGGAGTTTTGTGTGACCACAGCTAAGCTGCTTTGGTACTTACAGGTTTCTTCAAAGCTATCTCCTGATGTTGCTACTATTTGTATGGCACCTGGAATGAACTCTGTCTCATACAAAAGGTATGCTTTGCTTGTCCATCCAATCAAAAGTAGCCACAACTCCACCTTTTGGTAATTTTCAGTAAAATATGTCTAGACCATCTTAGTAAGAGCAT